GGGCGGGATGGGGGGCAACCCCCCTGCACTGAGAACAACCTGTGGGGACATGGCTGGTGCTCAGACACTGGGTCTCCAGGAAAGGCGGGCCCTGCCCCCTACACCGCCCCGCCCAGCTCAGGGGCAGGGGGCAGAAAACAACCATCCTAATTTCCAAGAGGGGTTTGGGCGCCCCCCAGGGCAGGCCAGAAAGGCAGCAGGGCCTCTGGGCCTGAGGTGTCCAGAAGGAATGGGCCCCGGACCACCAGGCAGCATTTCCCATAGGGCCACATGGCCGGGCTGACCTGCATGGATCTCTGGTCAGAGACCCAGGTGGGACCAGGTGGGACCTGGATGCCTCAGTGGGGGGCCATGGGGGTAGACGGCGGCCAGGAAAGGTGTCCATCTCCCTCCTCCGGGTACCCTGGCACATTAGAGACCCCTGGTTTTTACACCACCTGGGGCAAGACAGGGGCTGGGGAGTCTGTTGGAACAGTTTTCTAAGTTCAGCTGGAGAGGAAGAAAGCTTCTCTTCCCAAGGCCCTGAGTTTGAGGCGTGAGGTGTCCCCTGTCTCCCTGGGAAGAAAGCTTCTCTTTCCACAGCCCCGAGTTTGGGGCGAGAGGTGTCCCCTACTCCCTGAGCAGGGGAGTGAACGCCCAGGAGCTGCACCTTGCTGCATGTCTGCATTTCCAGCCCAGCTGCCCTGCCCTCGGCAGGATGGTAAACCTTCCGTGCTCCTCTGGGAGCACCCCTCAGTCTGCGAACTTAACAAATCCAGTATATTTTCTCGATATTTCCGCCGTGCTGGCGACGGGGCTGGTGGTCAGGGCAGTGCCTCATGTTTACACAAGGCGCTGCTCTCATGGCCTCGTGCAGGGTAAGCGTGGAGCTCCCTCCCCGGGAACTGGGCCGGAGGAGTCCCTGCAGACGCCGGACGCTTACTTTCTATCCGCAGCTTCTTCTGCTCCAGGATGTGCATTTCCTTCTTGAACATGTCCAGAGACACCAGCTGTTCCTCCTGCTCCTGAGTGACCTTCACCATCTCTTGCTGCAGGCGGAGCCAGGTCACCTGGGCCTGCGTCACATTGGTGTTGTGCTCTTCGATCAGCTTGGTCAGCCTTTTGATTTCAAGCTCTAGAGGCCCCACTTCTTCCCCCTAAAAGTGATATTCACCAAAAAGCAAAGCGAGCCTCCTTGTTTTCAAAGGTCTGCTTTCTGGGGGAGCTGAGAAGGGCCGGGACCCCACCTGAGATCATGCATCTGTGTGAGGACAAGGGGGCATTTCCTCGGGGGCACTAAGGGTCCCACTGTATGCCCCCGACCCGCTGTGGGAGATATGGGTCTCAGGAGGCCAGTGGCCCCCTCCCCACCACGCCACAGCCTTGTGGGGCCAAGGGGAGGGTTGGCAGGCCTCTGTCCCTCAAAGGGGCTTTGCAAGTTTTCTTTTAGGGGCAGACCGTCACGGGCCAGGGTCTTGACCATTTGGGCTGCAGCTTTGAGAGGGCTCTGTGGTGCTCAGGGTCTACCTAAAAGCGTGCCCCAGCTGACCATTTTACTCCTGGACTTGAAGCCCATGGTGGTGCCCCCACGTTAGGGATACCTGGGTAACCTATAGGACTTCAAGCCTCAAACTCATCAGATCACTCAGAGCAGCGGTCAAATCCCACCCGCTGCCTTTGCTTGGCAAGAAAGAAGAACATTTGGTGCCAGGTGAAAGTTATATGGTCAGATTCCAGGGGCCACCAATAAGGCTTTATTGCACACACCCATTTACTTATCACCTGCCTTTCTGGCCGTGACAGCAGGGGTGAGTAGCTTCGGCAGAGACTGACTGGCCTGAAATATTTACTATCTGGACCTTGACAGGAGAAGGTTCACAGGCAGCCCCTGACTTGGGGCATTCCGCGCTCTCGCCATGTCATCCATAAAAGGGGTGGGGAAAGGAGTGGCTCTATTCCGTGGCACAAATACCAACCAGGGGCAACCTCTCCTGGCCCGGAGGTCTTACCCCCAGCTCAGAAACCATCTGCTCCAGCTGCTTATTGAAGAAGTTGATGAGGCCTTGCTTTCTCTCAATCAGGATTGTGCGCCTAGAGATCTCGTTCTCGCTGCTGGTGATGAGGTCATTGACCTTTTTCACTTCCTTGTCGAGCTCGACCAGCGTCTTCTGGTGCATGTCCAGCCTGCAGTTGGTGTTTGTGATGTCCAGGGTGGTCTGAGCAATGTCGCCGTCAATTTTGGAAAGATGTGTCACCTGCATTAGCAAAAGGAAACATGTCTGAACATTCTTTTTCCCTGGGGGACTCTAAATGAGCTGACTGGCCTCTCATTTCCTTGAGCATCTGCCACAAGGTCCGCCTCTCCTTCCTTCTAGTCTTTATAAATATAACGCCCCCCCCACCGCCTTCTGCCCAAACCAAAGACAGGATCACACTCTACACATATGTTTGTAAGCCACTTTTTAATGAGCTCAATCTTGACTTGTATGCTCCTTTCATTTTTAGTGGCTGTGTAATAGTCCCTTATACTTATAACCCAGGAAGCGAGTCGTGGTTGTTGTCAGCAGTCCTGCCTTCCGTCCTGTCCCACAGTTCTGAATTCAGTGCCCCGGGGGCTGGTCTAGACAGCTGGTATGTTTTGGTGAAGGAAACGGATTCCTTCCTCTCTGGGCTTGCAGTCTATCACCAGTGTTCCTGTTCTAAGTAATGCTGTGGCAAGTTCAACCTGTCTCTTTGCCAGGACCGTCCGGGATAGCCGGGTCTTCACAGGGGCTCCCACCTTCCTCCTTGCCCCCCGTGCTTGCCGCCCTACGGGGGCTCCCGTTCCTAAGTCTCTTTTTGGTCACCAGATGGACCAGCCAGCCTCCCTGGACTCCCTCAGCTCTGCTCCTGGACTGTTCACTCTTATTGAGATACTTTGGCCTCTCCTGGGACGTCAGTTCTGCTCCTGCACTAACTTGTAGACCCATGGTTGACCCGTGCCTGCCCTCCCTCTGAACCCCAGCTCCAGATCCCAGGGGGTTTTTTGAACAGTTTGGAAAAAGTATCCCCTTTAAAGAGCTAGACTTGCATCTCTGGGGCAGTCAATCATAATGGACAAATTTGTGGGACGAAGATTCTTTACTGCCCTCTGCTGGACATCGGTGGTAGTGTGTGTGCCACTTGCAGGGGTGGCCCGGGGCCTGGGGGTCTGGGGGTCCACGAGTGCAGCCTGGCAGAAGGACTGGCAGGTGACTTCACACACACCACGCTCCTTATCTTCTCTGGTACAGCGCGGGCCCCTAGTTTTGCTCCCAGCAGGTAGTCTTGCCCCCACTTCCCAGAGAAAGGATGAGTGGGACGCCCCCAGCATCAGACAGGACCTCCCAAGGAGACCTGGCTGAGCACAGTCTTGGCTCCAGCCCTGTCTCCCCACTTCCTTGCTATAACCAGGCCCGGAGCAAGCTGCCCTCCTTCCAGGTGTCCGGGAGGGATGGGGCGCCTCAGGGTGCCGGCCAGGTAGACAGCAGCCCCACCCTCCCGGAAGGACAGGTGAGCCCCCCAGCTGTGTCAGCTGAGCCTCCTCCTGGCCAGTATCCACCTGCCAACAATGGCCATCAATCGCTGACATGCAGGGGCACGGCCTCCGGCTCCCCAGCCCCTTTGTTGTCATTGTAATGAACAGTTAGATCTAATCCTCCAACACCTGCCAGGTGTCTCGTACAGGGAGAGAGTAAAGGTAGAGCCAGGATCACGCAGGAGCAGGACTCATGCTCTTAACCGCAGGCTGGGAGGGCCCACGCCCCTTCATCTCCCACCCATCGGATGGAAGCTTCTGGTGAGCTGGAGAGCAAGGAAACGTCCGTGTGGTTGCTGCTACGTGCAGGCAGGCCGAGCGGGCCCCTCTCCTCCTGAGCCTTGAGGGGCGCCCTGGGGCAGGCCATCTGCTGGGAGGTGCCCTAAGCCTGGTGCAGGCCACGGCAGCCTCCGTGGGCTCCGCAAGCGGGCCCACCGAGCCAGGGGACACTGAGGGGGGGTCACACCACGGGACGAGGCAAAGAAGAAACGATTCAAGGAAGGACACAGGGACCCCTGACCACAGCTCAGAGCAAAGTAAGACCCCTGGGAGAGCAAGAGAGAGCTCTTGTTGGAGGAGGTTCCTGGGCCGGGAACCTGTGACCCTGGGTTTCGGGCATAGCAGCTTGTCCTCAGAAGTGTGGACACAGATGTATGGCAAGCATGTCCAGAGTGGAGTTGTTGATAACGTTTAAAACCTATAAACACCTTGAAGTGTCTAACCAGAGAATTTTCAAGCACAATACATACATTTGCATGATGAAATGTCATGCAGAAAGGAAAATGTAGGTTTTTGAGGAATATTTCACAGAAAATGTTATGTTGAATGTGGCCAAAAAGTAAAATAAAACAGTATCTGCTCAGTGAGAAAATCCGTGGAGTCCCACACTTACTGTGTGTCATATTTCAGTAAAGTGAATGAAAATGGATTAGAATAGACCTGAAAACTGATACATAGTAAGAGTCCTATGTTGTTTAAGGCGTGTGCACTTGTGTGTGTTCACGGGTGTGCTTGCACGAGTGGGTGAGTACATTTGTATGGGTCGGCACGTGTGTGCGCGTGAGCATGTGTGCATGTGTGTGTCGGCTCATGTGTGCATCGGGATGTTTATATGTGTGTGGTTTCTGTGTGTCTGTGTGTGCACCTCTTTGGTTGCCTGTGTGAGTTTGAGCGTGTGTGTTTAGAAAAAGTTCCAGAAGGAAATACACCAAAATGTTGGAAGAGGTTATCTCCGGACGGTGGGGTTATAGATGTCTCATTTTCCTCTTTATGCCTCTGTATTTCCAGGTTTTCTACAATTAAAAGGCTCGCTTCTACAACAAGAACCAAGTGGGAAGTGAACAGACCGGCTGAGTGCCCCTGGCTCGCCCCGTTGGCTCTGAGCGCGGCCGCCGCCCCGCCCCCCAGCCCAGGCGCCCGGCCCTCGTGGCCGCAGCGGGAGGGTGGCCTACCAGGTTGGTCTTTTGCTTCCGGAGCTTCAGGATGATCTGATGGAAGTACTTGGTCATCTTGTTGGAGGTCATGTGCCCCTGCAGCTTCTCCAATATGGAGGCGTCCATCCTCCGCCTCAGCTCTAGCTCGTGCCGGATGGTCTGGTGGACCGACTGCAGGTCGCCCATGGTGGCCGCGTACTCCTGGAAAGGAAGGGGCAGGGACGGCGCTGGGGGGGGGGGGGAGGAGGGAGGCCGCGGGGACGCGCCCTGGATGGGCTGAGGGACACGGTCGTACCACTTGGGCCTTGCCCAGCGTGTCCTCCGTGTCCTGCAGCACCAGCCGGTAGGTGTTGAACTCGTTCTGCAGAGCCTCCTGCTTGGTCAGGCACTGCGTGGTTAGTTTCTGCACCAGGTTGGCTTCTGTCTCCTCGCGGTTCAGGATGCCCGCCAGCTTCTCATTCTTCTCTTCCTCCTTCATGATGGATTTCTTGTAGGCCTCGATCTGCCCGTTGATGGACGTGATCTGGTGCTGGCACTCGCTGTCGGGATCGAGAGAGCAAAGCTGGGTCGGCAGAGCACTCATGCATGTGGCTGTGCCCGCTCACGGGGGGCTCACCCAGTGGAGAGGGATGAATGGGAACCCAATCCTTACCAGTAGCCAATCTCGACGACTGCTTCCTGACACAGTCACAGAACCACTGCCCACTTTGAGTCCAAGCCTAAGACTCTTCTAAGACAGAGAGTAAGGGAGAAGGGCCAGAGGGGCCAGGCATCGTCCCAGGGGCCAGATCCGCCCACACTTGCTGGTCAGGGGAGCAATCCAGGAAAGGGAGTGTGCTATTCCAGTTTCATACGCGTGAGCACTGGAGCTCAGAGCCCTTGAGCGGCATGCCCAGTGGCCATAGTGTGTGGCGTGGCTGGGAGGAGCGCCCGTGGGCATCACTCCAAACTCTGTCCTTTCCCCTCTGCACACTGGCTGTGCGAATACCTGTAATTAACGTCAAGTCAGACAGACAGGTGCTGGATAGTAGAGTTTTCTTTTGTGTGTGAGACATTGTTTCCCCCACATTCTGAGACGTCCTACTGCTCTGCTCTAAAAAAGCCTTTCTCCACCTCCAGTATCTTTTCCTTTGAATAAGTTCTTATTGAAAAAATCAGAAAGTACTTTCTCCTTGAACCGGAATAACACCTTCCATATTTTTCTCATGTCTATCCCCAGGCCTTCAATTCTCTTCCCCAAGCAACCAGTTATTTCTTAAATGTCTTTCCAGATCTATTTCATGCTTTTATAAGCATTATGTTTGTCTGTGTCTATGAAACAGTTACAAATAGCAGCTTAGTAGATCATGTTCTGCACCTTACTTTTTCTTGTGCTATCTTAAAGATATTCAGTAGCAGTGCACATAAAAATCTCCTCGGTTCTTCTCAATGACCAGATGGTATTCCAAATGATGACCGTGCCATAATTTAAGCCTCCTCACTGATACACAGTTAGCTTCTTTCCAGTTTTCTGGCCTTTTTTCCCCCTAATTTCAACAGTGTAGCAAAAAACATCTGTACACAGTTTTTAAAAGATACCGGGGAGATATGCCATGTTTATTCAGCAGAAGACTCAATATTGTTAAGGCGTTAGTCTCCCCCAAAAGATCTCTAGACTCAACGCAATTCTTTTTTTTTTTTTTAAAGATTTTATTTATTTATTTGAGAGAGAATGAGATAGAGAGAGAGAGCACATGAGAGGGGGGATGGTCAGAGGGAGAAGCAGACTCCCTGCCGAGCAGGGAGCC